TTCAAACCCGGCCCTGGCCAAAAAAAAAAAAAAAAAAAAAAGATGTTCTTCTATTTCCTATACTTCTAGCACACCGATACTAAGATCTAGAGATGTGATGGGCTCCAGGAAAGATTTGGGGGCAAGAATACTTCCAGGGAGGTCTGTCGCACATCCATCAAGAAGCACGTGTAGCAGGCCCTTGTTTGGTTCAGTGACTTTCAACTTTATGTGGATGAGGAAAAAAAATCCATGTCTGGCCACAACCACTGTCTGTGTGGAATTTGCACATTTTCCCCAGGTCTATCTGGGGGAATGTCACACACTCTAAAGACACACTTCGGGTGAACTGGAATATCTAAATTGTCCCAGTGTGAGTGACAAGAGTCTAGTGTGAGTACACACTATTAAAGAATGGCAATCAGGGTTGAATCCCACCTGGTGGCCAAGGCTGATGGAATGGGCTCTGGCCACCCATGACTCTGAACTGGTTAAGAAATAAATGAATGAATCAAAACAAATTACTGTCAAATAAAAATTCATAAAGCACATGACAGTCATACAAAACACATGACAATAAATGGTACATTACGAAATCACTCGTGAGTTTGCCTTTATTGTTTGTTTTCAACTGTGTGGTTGTAGAAGTGACTCCTTACTATTTTCACTTTGTAAACTTCTATTCCTTGATTTAATCCACACCACTCATTGACTTAGCACAAGTTGGGTAAATAATTATCTGTTTTTATTAATTTTTCCTAAATGTATGTATAGTTCACTTTTATTACAATGTTTAAGATTAGAAGTATTGTAGGTCTTTACTTAGAAATTGCTAGTATAAGAGGCAGAGCAAGGTGGCTGAACAGAAACCTCCAGCGGCTGTCCCTCTACAGTAGCACCTAACACAGCAGATGTCCTCCCAAGCAAACACCTTCAGAAGAACCAAAAGTCAGCTGAGCAATCACACTATCTGTGTGATTTTAACATCTTATCAAAGAAAGAGGCACTGAAGCAGAGAGATAAGGCACTGAAGCAACAGTCTTGCACTGTCTGTGCCAACCCTCCCCCAGGCCCCTGTAGGCTCTGCCAGCAATGGGTAGAGAGTCTGTGTACCCAGGGAAAAGAGAGAGAGAGATGGGATTACAGGGCTTTGCACTGAAACTCAGGGCTGCCCTTGCACAGGAGAACACAACACAGGGCAGAGTTCTGCCAGTGCCCACAGACAGTGCATTTTGAACAGCCCAGCCAAAGGGAAATCCTCTGCCTAAAAACCTGAGTTCTTGCTGGTCCCACCAGTGGCAGCCAAGGAGCAGCCTGGGACCTGTACTACCTTAACAATCGGGCCATAGAGCCACAATCCCGGGGGTACACATGCCCAGTGAGACACCAGCCAAGCCACTGCCTGTGTCACCCCTCCCCTAATACAGGCAGTGCGGTCCAGACAGAGTCTTCTTCCACTTCAGGAAATGAAAAGGAAGAGCTCAGAAAACTTTGTGTTGCAAGTAGGATTCCCAGCTCAGCCACAGTAAAATAAAGTACCAGGCAGACTCCTGAGTGCTCTGAGGCCAGGAGCCTTGGTTCCTGGACAGCATTCTGGAAGGAAACATGCTCCCTTGAAGGGAAGCACCCAGTCCTGGCAAGATTCACCACCTGCTAACTAAAGAGCCCTTGGGCTTTTAATAAACATCAGAGTTAGCCAAATAATAATCATCACTGGCACTGGGGGAGACTGGACTGGTTTCAGTTATGACCTGGCACTGGTGGCCACAAGGGTGTGCCCACATCACTCCTCCCCCAACTCCAGCAGCCCAGGAAGAGAGTGAGAGACTTTGCCTGTTATCTGGGGAATTCTCTGTATCTTACCCAAGCTCACCAAAACAGTACCAGTAGGAGTCTGCAAGAGTCACAGCATTTCTGAGTGTGGGGCATTCCCAGTGCAGATACGACTGCAGTCACCAATGACTTAAACCACAACAGTCAATTCCCTATGAATACCTCGAAAGCCTTCTCAAGAAGGATGGGTTCAAGGCGGCACCAGTGGCTCAGTAGTAGGATGCTGGCCCCATATACTGAGGGTGGCAGGTTCAAACACAGCCCTGGATAAACTGCAACAAAAAAATAGCTAGGTGCCTATAGCCTCGGCTACTCAGGAGGCTGAGGCAAGAGAATCACCTAAGCCTAAGAGCTGGACATTGCTGTGAGCTATGACGCCACAGTACCCTACCAAAGGCGACAAAATGAGACTCTGTCTCTGGAAAAAAAAAAAAAAGAAGGATGGGTTCAAAGATGCCCAGACTATAAAATCAAAATAAATACCTAACTCTTAAATGTCAAGACATTGACAAACACGTGCAAGCATCAAGAACACTGAGGAAAGTGTCACCCACAGCTCAGTGGATAGGGCACTGGCCACATACACGGAGGCTGGCAGGTTCAAACCCTGCCTGGGCCTGCTGAACAACAGTGACAACTACAACAAAAAAATAGCCAGGCATCATTGTGGCAGGTGCCTATAGTCCCAGCTACATGGGAGACTGAGAAGCCCAAGAGTTTGAGGTTGCTATAAGCTGTCAGGGGGTACATAGTAAGACTCTGTCTATAAAAAATAAATAAATATATATATATATATATAGTTAGATTGAATGAACGATATTTGATAGTACAACAAAGTGACTATAATCAAAAGTTAGGGTATACTTTAAAATAACTGAGTCTAATTGGGATCTTCCTAACACAAAAAAAGTTAAATGATTACCCCATTTGATTAACTCACATTGTATAGCTGTATCAAAACATCATCACCTATAAAGATATACAACTATTAGGTACCCATCATAATCTTTTTTTTTTTTTGAGACAGAGCCTCAAGCTGTTCCCCTTTTTTTGTGAGACAGAGCCTCAAGCTGTTCCCCTGGGTAGAGTGCCGTTGCATCACAGCTCACAGCAACCTCTAACTCCTGGGCTCAAGTGATTCTCATGCCTCCGCCTCCCAAATAGCTGGGACCACAGGCGCCTGCCACAACACCTGGCTATTTTTTTTTGGTTGCAGCCGTCATTGTTGTTTGGCGGGCCCAGGCTGGATTCGAACCTGCCACCTTAGGTGTATGTGGCTGGTGCCTTAGCCAGTTGAGCCACAGGCACCAAGCCCCCATCATAATCTTTATAAAAGAAGTTTGTTGGGCAGCACCTGTGGCTCAAGGAGTAGGGCGCCAGCCCCATATACTGAGGGTGACAGGTTCAAGGCCAGCCCCGGCCAAAACTACAAAAAAAAAGTTTACTGATGCTTTTGTAACCAAAATATGCCATAATAACTTTAACTCTTGTTTCTATCAATCATACTGTGATAAAATTGTTTTCTTATAATCAGTTTCCTAGCACCTGTCACATTGTTAAGTGAGGACTTACTATAATGCATAGCCATCTCTCTTTGTGAAGTTAAGATTGATCAATGGATGCAGATATCGTCAGCTGGATCCCCCGTACAAAGCTCCCTATCAGTTTTTCACCTAATGGTTGTGGTGATCATTGAGGGTCACTGCCTATAATCTTCATTCCATTAGTGGTTACAGTACTGACAGTCTGATTCTGTCATTCATTCTCCATGTTTTTGTTGGGACACATCTATCAAGAAAATCCCCAGGCGATTCTAATGTGCTTCCAAAGTTGACTAGAGAAAGAATAGCAAGGACTGTTCCCTGGGCAACTCTAATTTGAACATGAGGGGGAGAGGCTAAGATGACTGAGAAAGCAAGCCAGGAGAGGCTAAGATGACTGAGAAAGCAAGCCAGGAGGGGGAGAGGCTAAGATGACTGAGAAAGCAAGCCAGCTTCTGTGATGTCAACTGAACAGTGACATCACAGAAGCTGGAGGAGAGTGAGCTAAGATGGGAACAACCAGACACCTAGAACGTGGTCAACAGGTAAGCAAGATAAGACCAGAGAATCATCGACTGGACACAGTAAGATGGAAGTCTTTGGCACCCTTGAGCACAATTTCAGTGAAGTCAGGGTAGAAGTGCTTACTGGGCACAGTGAAGTACTGCCCGGGATTACAACTCTTATTAGTAACTCTTTGGAGAAGTTCTGCTGTCAAAGGAAGGAGCACAGAAAATGAAGCTGTCTCTTAGCTCCTCAGTCAGGTTGTCAGTCTCTCCACCCTGGAGCCTTTCTTTAAAAAAAAAAAAAAAATGAACCTAAGCTTGTCTCTACTTAATAAAAATTCTCTACTGCCCTCAGAATGAAGCCCTGAGCTGGTAATATTACATGGATTCATTTTCTGACTCCAATGCACCTCTCCTACCTCAGAGCCCTCATGCATAGCTCCCAATTTCATAGCCTCTTTTATGCCAGCAGGCTATGGGAAGTGCCTTCCACCTTCTCCACTTGACAAGCTTGTATTCATATGACCTGACTCAGCTCAAATCATCATCCTCACCAGAACCACAGAGACATTTACTTCTCACCAGCATCTGCACCTCCTCCTGGAAGTCAGCCTTGAATTCACTTGTGTCTGCTCACAGCTCCTCCCTCCCATATATAGGACCTCCATGTCCTAACCATTCTTTCTCAGTCCCAGCCTCTGCCTGTCCTTTCCATGTCCCCATTCTAGACCTCTCTTGCCTCTTTTTTTGTTTTTTGTAAACTGATGTTTATTTTCTCCAACTTTATTTCCATCTTGTTTAAGAGCTTGTGGAAGAACAGCTTAAGACCATTCATTGGCTCAAAGGAGTAGGCTCCTGTGGCTCAAAGGAGTAGGGCACCAGTCCCATATGCCAGAGGTGGCAGGTTCGAACCCAGGCCTGGCCAAAAACTGCAAAAAAAAAAAAAAAGCGAGATGCTGTCTTTACTAAAAATAGAAAAACTGAGGTAAGAGGATAGCTTGAGCCCAAGAGTTGGTAGTTACTATGAGCTATGATGCCATGACACTCTACCCAGGGTGACAGCTTAAGACTCTGAG